AGAGAGAGAGAGAGAGACAGACAGAGAGACAGAGACAGAGACAGAGAGTGACAGAGAGAGACAGAGACAGAGACAGAGAAAGATCCAGGGGAAAACTGCTGGATTAGGCAGAGGAACCTGAATTTGAACCTGTGACTTACTGCCTATGAGCAAGGCATTTCACCTCTGAGTCTCAGTTTTTTCATCTGTAAATGAAAGGGTTTGACAAAATGATGTTCAAGGTCTCTCCCAGCTCTTGATCTATTTTCTGATATATATAGAAAACTATATAATACACCATAATCTCAGAAGGAAACAAGCACCAGCAGTTGGGGGAAATAAGGAAAGGCTTCATGGGGCAGATGGCACCTGAGATAAGCCTTAAAGGAAGAGAAGACTTCCCAAAGGTCCAGATGAAGAGCGCACACACTCCAGCTGTGGTCGATGTCTTGTGTAAATGATCAAGGGCCGAAGTTGGAGTGCTAAGTTAAAGCAAATGCTAGTAAAGCAGTTGACTGGAACTTAGAGTACATGAAGGGGAGTGATATGCTTATATAAAAGCAGGGCTTCTTAGCCAGAGTCTATAGAATTGCTTTTAAAAAATATTTTGATAAGTAGATTTCAATATAATTGCTTTCCTTGGTAATCCTACGTATTTTATTTTATACACTTAAAAACATTGTTCTGAAAAGGGATACATAGGCTGGCTGCCAAAGGTAACACACACATGCAAGGTTATGGAAGAAAAAAAGATTTACATAACTTTATTATATATTTAAAAGGAATAGCAAGTTGTACATAATAGATTTGCAGTTTCATATGCAATCATCTTTTTCAATTATACTATGTTATAGAAATGTTTGTTTTATCCCATAAATTAAAATTTTAATAAGTAAAATAATTTTTAAAAGAGCCCTGCTGTGAAGGTAGGTAGGAGTTAAATTATGGAAGGCCTTGAATGCCAGGCCAAGGAGTTTGCATTTTACACTAAAAGCAATAAGAAATAATTCAAAGTTTTGGAGGAGGGGGAATGTCTTAGAAACTGCAAGAAAATAATAGAATCATGATTCAGAAACCAAGATTTAAATAAGGCAGATATGTGATTATGGAAATAGCTCTTCACTTCAGATCTACAAAAACTTGGATGCATGGGTCTCTTAAATCTTAAACACTCATTTCGACATAATTAAGTTACTTTAATAATAATACTAACAATGTTAATTCCCATTTATATAGCACTTTGAGCTTTGCGATGAAAGTATTATGAATCATAGATCAGAAGAAAAGGTATAGCAAATATGAATCAAATGAGGGAGAGATTGAAGAAGGAAAACTGAGGCTGACTGCTTAAGCCAAATGATATAATGTGGTCCCTTGGGAACAATCTCCAGAAAGGAGTAAATTAAATATATGCAGGGATATCCAGATTCCTATATTTAGGAATTAGTCTTTCCTGGTTATATTTATGTGGAGGTAGATTGTCTTTCTCTCATACATCCAGACATAGTTAAGGTTCAAAGTAATGGAAGGGAGTGTAACCCAAAGGGGCAGCTAGGTGGTGCATTGGATAGAGTGCTGGACGTGGAGTCCAGAGGACTCATCTCCTTGAATTCAAATCTAGCCTCAGACACTTACTAGCTGTGTGACCCTGAGTAAGTCACTTCACCCTGTTGGCCTCAGTTTCCTCATCTGTAAAATGAGCTGGAGAAGGAAATGGCAGACCACTCCAGTATCACTGCCAAGAAAACCTCAAATGGGGTCACAGAGAGTCAGATCAACTGAATAACCATTCAGCAACAACAATAAACCAAAGAGCAGTAGGGGAAAATTAAATAATATTCCTATTGAGCAATTCTTTAAGGTTATCTTTCTCATAGGAAACTCTGGCCTTTAAAATTGTGTGCAGCTGGGCCCTTTCCCATCCACCACATGGAACATACCAAAGGTTCTCTGATGCAACTGAGCAGAAATTTGAAAAAGGGAGATGAGCCAAGTATAGGTACCATATATGCCAGTGACTCTGACCTTGTGGAACAGCCTCCCAACTAAAGAAAGGAAATCAATCTATCAACATATATTTATTGACCACCTATTGTGAACCCTGCCCTATGGGAGATGCTTTGGGAGAAACAGAAAAATCTGATATGGTGGTCCTTGCTCTTGGGGAAACAACAATCTCATTGTAGAAACATTCATAGTTAACATTTGGAAAACAATATTTAAATTTATCTGGGATCTCACCGATATGGGCATTCCTTCCAGTAATATAGATTGCGATTTATCCTTGCCTTCCCATTCTGGGCACCTCATGTCCTTGTCCTCTCAAAACTTCACAGAAGAGGTTCGCCCAGTGTGCTAGGGACCCACCTCAGGTGCTTTTGACATTCTGAGGATATCAGTGAGACACACTGGTTAGCCCTCACTCCTGCCACATGACCAGCCAATTTTCTTTCTCAAGCATGCAATATTTCTTTGGTGATGTTCTTGACTGTACTTTTCCTTCATCACTCTATTAAAAAGTGCAAAATTATGTGAATGTGGTTATAAATAGAAATGGAATTAAGAGAGGAGAGAGGTCCTCTAGAGCTTTTGCTCAGGAAAACTCTGGGGAAAAGGTCAGCCTTGAACTGGGCCCTGAGAAAAAGCATATTGGAAAGGTGGGGGAGAACAGGAAGGGCATTGTAGATGGATAGAATTGTGGCAGGTGCAAAGATAGGTCTGGCCATGGAGTCAGAGGACTGACTTGACCAGTTCTCAAAGTTCATGTTAGAAATTAATAGAAAATGAGATTAAAAGCCTTTTACACTTCTTAATCTATTTGAAATTGAGCTAAGAATAAAATTCTTAGAATAAAATTTATATACTTCCTATGCTGACAAGGTAATTCATACCTACCATTTATTTAACATTTTAAGGTTTGCAAAACACTTTATAAATATCTCATTTTAACCTCACAACAATGCTGGGAAGTAGGTTCTATCATTATCCCTATTTTACAGATGAAGAAAACTGAGGCAGTCCATGATTAAGTGACTTTTCCAGGGTCACATAGCTAGTAAGTGTTGGAGACCAGATTTGAACTTAAGTCTTCGTGGCCCCAGGTTCACTGGCTCCATCCATTGTGCCACCTAGTTGCCTGCAACTCTCTTACTTTGTGAAATTAAAACCCTGTGTACAACCCAGGCTGTTTGATGCTATATTGTATTATTGGCTGAAATACTGAAATGAATGTCCAAGAAACTTTGTTTCATTCCACTGGATCCCACCTTTTGAGTGTACTGGCTTATTCTGTAGTTATTATATTCTCTCCTTAGCCATTCTGATACAATGCTTCTAAGATAACAAATGCTTATGTGCTGGTAACCAATATAGTGTATATTAGAACATGAGAGATGGTTTTATACCTCCATATTACTTGTATTATGATATAGAAATCAAAATTTTCCTAAA